AAGTATAAAAATCAAATGAATATTCATATTTGACCTGATTGTTTATAGTTCATAATGAGTGATCAAAACCGAAAGTTTTTGTGATGACTGCCCTTGTACTGTTCACCATGTAAGAACTTATTCACTATGTAAGAATTTGTTCAGCATGTAAGAACTTGTTTGTTATGCTTCAGAAGATTGGAGACTGACGAGAATTAGGCTGGGGGTGGATTAATGATTGTGCATTGAGCATTGACTCCCCTATACAGAATTTTATTATTGTTAACAACCATTTGATCAATAAATATGAGAGATGCCCTCTCAAAAAAAAATAGTTAAGGTATTGGCCCCAAGTTAGTGTGACAAAGGCAGGAACTCAGGAGCTAGGGCAGGATATGAACAGAGCTGGAAGGATCTGAAAAGGAGAAACAACCCAATTCCCCATCTCCTTCCAAACTTCTCCTGCCTGGCATCTTGTGTTTGACAACGATAATAGTTCATCCTCTTAAGGAGCTCTTAATCAGCACAGAAACAGGACAGCAGCCCATTTTGAGGGAGAGAAATGTTACAGGCAGCTCCACCATGTCCATGTGGTGTTAAGGCCTGTCTTACGAGACAGAAGGAGGAGAGATGCTAGATATGCCCAACGAAGACATATTGTTCATAAGACCAGTCCTGAGAAGCATGACAAGCCTTCTATCTACACCTGAATGTGGCCTTCTTGTAAGAATTGTTTTGGCTCAGTCTGGATACTAAAGCATTCAGTTCAATGATATATTACATATCTTTTTGTAAGGTGATATGCTAGGTCTGCAAAACCTGGTTGAAGATACTGTGGTAGAGATGCTAAGCTCATCCTTCATGATTTCATTTTACATAATGAATGTTATTAAGTGACCTCAAGCCAGAAATAATAAATGAAGAGAGACTGTCCAAAAATAAATAAATAAATAAATACAAATGAGCTTGGTTATGATCTGTTTCTTAGTATATCAAACAACCAATATTTAGGTACCTAGTATTACTAGCCTTCTTCCCCTATTTCATGTTATCTTCCTGTCACTCCTGTCTGGTGACTTTTGTAACCAACTTTTGTATGTCCTCCTCCCCTTGATCCTAGGGTGTCCTGAAAAGTTCCAGTAAATCCTAGTTTTCACTGTTTCTCCTCACCTGTTCTTTTATTCTTTTCCCTGCTTTACTGTAGTCCCTCATTTGGACCAATGGCCAACTGTTGATCTTGAGTCTGTGGCTTGAATACCTCCCATAAGTGAGGCGTGCCAGTTAGAATATTACTTGCTCCACTGAATCCAGTGTTACTCTCCTCAGTCATCCAGGACTAAAAAGAATCTGGCTTATTATACACAACTGAAATGCCTCCCCTCCAATCAAAGTCAGATTGGCTAATTTGAAGTAATTATCTCATATTTTATATTTTGCATGAATGTTTCCAGAATTCTGATATAATGCCATTATTTGAATATGGCTATCTGTCAGGCACATAAGGCCTAACAGAAACATCCATCAAAGAGATGAGAAAAGAATGTCTACAAAGCGTCTTGTGGTAGGAGCGAAATGAGTGTCAGTTCACCTGTATAGGGATCTTAAAAGCATCTTGGTAGAATACTATTTAAATATATCAAAAGAAATGGAGGGAAAAAAACTAGTCATAACTTGTATTAATAATACCTCTTTTTTTTGTCAGTACATGTATAAATGTAGACTATATAGTGTACAGATGCCTAGAAAAGTAATTGGAATTTGTGCCAAAACATTATAATAATACAGAGTAGTTATCTCAGAATTATAGGTTTGGTCCTTTTTTTCCTCCCTTATGGGTATTGCTTTTTCCTGTGCACTTACCTGCTTACTGAAGAAAAGGAGAAAATGATCATCAAAGAGAAAAAACCAGCTGGAGTGTTAGTGTACGATGTTCAGAGTGTGATAAATGAACTTTGGGAAATAATAGCAAAGATAAATGAGTCTTTCTGGTTAATTTTTAGTGGCATATTAAGTCACTAAGCCTTTAGAATTTTTAATTATTAAAATGTCAAACACAAAAGCACAGAGAATATATAACAGACCTCATATGGTGTGTGATCACTGTATGGCAGTTCTTTATCCATCCCCCACACTCTCCCCACTCTCCCCCTGGATTATTCTGAAGCAGACCCTAGACACCACATCATTTTATTCACAAATACATTCATATGTATTTCCAAGGGCAGTGTGTCCATTATTACACCTTAAAATATCAGCAGTAATTTTAATGTCATCACATAATTACTTAGTATTTAGATCCCCCATTGTCTCACATAGGTATTTTTCTAAGCTGATTTGTTTGCATCGAGGTCCAGACAAGGCCCACACCTTGCATTTGGTGGATATGTCCCTTGTCTTTTCTTTTTTTTTAATTGAAATATAATTCATATACCATAAAATTCACCTTTCCAAAGTATATAGTTCATGATTTCTAGTACATTCAGAGTTGTGCAGCCACCTCCACTATCTGATTCCAGAACATTTATCTTCCCCAAAACAAAGCCCCTACCTAGTAATGGTCACTCCTCGTTTCCTGCTCCTCCCATCCCCTGATAACATTACTCTGTCTCTATGAATCTGCCTGTTCTGGACATTTCATATACATGCGATCATACATGACTTAAGTCTGTCTTAATATGTAAGCTTATTCTCCCTCTTGGGTTTTTTTTTCTCTCATTTACTTACAAATTGTCTGTCCTGTAAAATTTCTTGCCTCCTGGATTTTACTGTCTGTATCACAGATGTCACTTATCATGTTCCTCTGTATTGATGTTTCCTTTCCATTGATAGGTAGATCTCAAGGCCTAATCATATTTAGGTTTAATCTTTTTGGGAAGAATACCTCATTGGTTTTCTCTATTTCCCTTTGTATCACACTGGGTGATACATAATGTCTGGCTGTCTATTGACTTATATCTGGAAGCGGGTTATTCACTTATATCTTCCAGACTTATATCTGGAAGAGATTATTCACTTAGTGAATTAGGTGCAGATAAAATTTGAGGGATGTGACATTTTCTAGAATTGTTAAGGTATAGAAGAGTTAAATAGTAGATTGATAAACAAAATATGTAATTTCTTATCAGAAATACCTATTCTACTGAAAGGGATCCTCAAAGCTGTAAATTGGTGTACTTCATTTCTACACCAGGCAAGCTCATATTCTTTAAGAAAAGGATAATGTTGACTAAATCTGACCTATAGGAGGAGGATGCTACATGGCACATACAGTGAGAAAGCGGGTGGAGGTAATCCTTTTGGATGGTCAAAACTACCTTCGCATTTCATTATAAATGTTATTGAAGAAGAAAATAATTTATATGTGTTGTGAGGATTATTATCATCCAGTAAGGAAATGACTTTACGGAAAGGAATTCAAGGAGACTGTTTGGTTGCTTCTTAGTCCAGAGATGTGAATGGTGGGGCCATCTAGGAACGTGTGCTTAGAGATCCAGGTTTATTTTAACTTTTTTTTAATACTGTGGGAGGGAGTGTACAAAAAAATCAGTTGTACAGATGATATAAAATTCTTGTGGATAGTAAAATGCCAAGTTAATGGAGATCAGTTGTAGAATAACTCATGAAGCTTTGCATGTGATCACAAAAACTAAAGGGCACATGGGTTTAGCTATCAAACAACAACCTAAAATATACCTAAAAGAAAGTGTGTCTGGAAGCCATCATATGGGTCCCTGAAAATAGTGTGTCAGATAGCTAAAATAGATATGACATGTGCTTCCAGAAATATTATCAATTAAATAGAGGGTGTTGGTCCTGTAAAATGAAGTTTTTGTTCTCTGGTTATTGCATTTCCAGAAAGATAGAATTGGGATGCAGAAGATCCAGGAAAGGATAACTTAAATGATCAAAGCAATGGAGGAATTGCGGTATGAGAAAAGGACTAAAAGGATAGTAGATTTCAGCCTAAAAAGTATAGTGAATGAAAGGAATATGATTACAGACTGAAATTAAGACTGTAGTTAAAGAGAATTACAAATTTATCTCTAGATTATTATACAGTAACACTAGAACATCTATCTTTTGATGTACAAAGAGATAAATTTGGAACAAATTTAAGGCATTATTTTATATAACAAGTATGTTCGCAACTCATTTTTCTAAAAGGTCATAGAGCTTACACATGAATAACTTCAAAATGTTGCACATAGTAGATTATTATGGAAAGCCAGAAATGTTTTCAGATGCAGAACATCCCAGGCCTTTGAGGTTGATAGGATATGAATCAGCAAGGGTATCCCTTTCTGCCCCTCCTAAGATAATATACTGGGGCTAAGATGAAGTACTGATGACGAACATCAGTGTTTTGTTCTTGTTATTAATAGTGTGACAGGTTTTCTAACTGTGGGAAAAACTAATATATATCCGTGTGCCCCTCCGTGAGTGTTAGGAAGGGGTTTTCAATCTATTTTGGACTGTTCTTTTAGAATATCAAAAAGTGAAGATGTGTGTTTTGTATTCTTTCCTTCAGTCTTTGACATAGATTCCCTCAGGGCTGCTTTTACTTAAAGCCAAAGAATATTAGTCAGACTATAAACTCATTGTCTTTTCTGTTTGTCCTCTTCTGCAGAAATACTTCAAAATCCCTCAGTTATTACCTTGGCAGTTCAGTAACAAGGACCTGGAAATGAATTCATTTCCTTCTGCATTCCTTTTCCAGTCATGTGGAGACCTCTTGATGTTTTAGATGAAAGAGATTGCATGTAGATGGTTGACTGAAAATAACTTAGTTCCTTGTATGTCAACTGTATTTCAACAAAAAGTTAAAAGAAAGAAAATACTTAGTTCTTCCTAATGTGCAATATTTTTTGGAAGTCAAAGGACTCTAGTTAGTCTCTGTCAGAAGTTTTTCTGATTTTTAAATTTTGAGCCATGGTACTAGGAATAATAATACTTCTTTGGTTTTTTGATAACTTCTGTAAAGTAGCTCATAATTTTGAAACTTCTCATTTTCAAATAGGTAATAAAAGCATATGGTACAAACTGCAAAAAGTGCAGAAAGATACACATTGAAAAATGTTTTCCCACCCTCGTTGCCAGTTGTCTAGTTCTCAGTCTATTGCTCTTACCAGTTTCTTGTATATTTTTCCAGGAATACTATAGGACTGTGTGAAAAATTATATCTTTGATTTTGTTTTTTTACACAAATGGTACCATTATTGTACATAGTTCCCTGTATCTTGCTTTTTTCACTGAAAATAAATCTTAGTGATTGGGCAGTGAACAATTTAATTATTTTTAACAACTACATAATAATTTACTAGATGACCAAAATTTATGTAACCAGTTGCTGTTGGGTTGTTTCTAGTCCTTTTGCTATTATCAGTAATGAGTCATTGAATTTCCTATACTTAACGTTGTGATGCACACACACAGCCCAGTTATTTTCACATAATAACTATGTCTACCACCCTATGGTATAAAACCTACATGCATTGCTCACAAAAATTCTAGTAGGAGTCAGTGTTTTATTTCCCTTGTTCTAATAAAAATGAAATTCTACCATGATGCATTTGAATAGAATTTTCTAGTAGTTGGACATGTAAAATGAATTACAAGAATTTCAGTTTGTTTTTTTGTATTCTCTCTTCTTTGCATTGAAGATTTTGGTGCCTCTGATTTTGCTACGGCAAATGCTTTTGGAGTTGACGAGATGCGGCCAAGAATCTTTGAGTGTGTTGCTGCAGTTTGGTGTGACCTATCTGGAAGACTATGCAGCGGAGTACATCATTCAGCAAGGTGGTTGGGTATGAACTGTTATGTACATTTTAAAAAATCTTTGAAATTAAGCACCTCTTGGTTGTTGTTTTTAACATTGGTTTAATATCATTAATATCATTTATTTTACTATTGATTGGATGGCGATTAATGCAAAGGCTATTCATACAGTTTAACTACCAAGATTTTGCTTATAGTGATTTGATACATGGCATTTTTAGTAGTTTTAATTATGAAACATTCATACTAAAACATATATAAAGAAAGCTAAGGGACGAGGAATAATAAAATGAACATCTGGGTATTTACTATCCTATTCTCAGAAAAGAACACAACCAATACTTTTGAGTCTCCTTACATGCCCCACCTAGACTTCAACATTCTCCTACCTTCTTCACAAGGGTAACTCCTGTTCTGAATGTTTTTTATTATATGTTAGCCACATATATATATATATAGATATATATTTATATCTATCTATAGGTAGATACATATATATAGATATACATATTATATTTATATATATATATATTTATATCCCTAGACAATATATTATTTTGTTTTGAACTTTATGTGTTATACTACATGTATTCTGTAACTTGATTTTTTTCACTCAATGTTCTGTTTTTGAGATTCATCTAGTCATTGCCTCTCAACCTTTTTTTCATTAGCACTCCTGTGAGGATCCTTTCTAGACATTTTTACCATAATTATCTCTTTCCTCCCCCCATGAAATTTTAATGCCATAAATAAGTCTCTTTACCTATCATGGCCCTTTGGAGGGCCACAAACCATTGTAATATCTTCACATTTCCACCCCTCTCAAACCAGTTCACCCTTGAAATCATCCACAGTGAAAATGTATGATCTAAGTTGATATGTTTTCTGGTGGTTGGTATTTGTGTAATTTATCACAGTTTGTAAATAAGATATATAATCTTGTCAGCTGGACATTTTTTGCTACTGTGTACATTACTGTAATGAGCATCCTTATACAAATGTGCAGGAGTATCTCTAGGGGTATACTGGGGTATACTAGGGAATTTCTGGGTCTAAGAGTTAATAGGCAGGTTATGATTTACAAGGTAACTGCCAAAGTATTTTCCAAAGTGATTTCCCAACTTACACCTTTAAGCAATATGTAAGAATTTTTGTTGCTCTATACTTTCCTCAACACTTACTATTGTCAGACTTACTCTTAAGTCATTTATTAAAATAAGATTATTTTAGAATAATTTTGGATTTACCAAAAAAATTACAAAGATAAACCCAGTTTCCCCTAGTGTTAACATCTTACATCACTATGTACCTTTGTCAGATTGACTTTTCCATCTTTTACTTTTAGCAAATTAATTGAACTCTCTTATTATTCTGATTGTCTCTAGGTTCCTTTGGATTTTCTACATAGAAAATCACACTATGAATAATGATAATTTTTTTCCTTAAGGAGCCTATCTTTTTTTATTATTATTAAGGTATCATTGATACACAATTTTATGAAGGTTTCAGATGAGTAATGTTGTGGTTACAACATTCACCTATGTTATCAGGTCCCCCGCACACATCCCATTGTAGCCATTGTCCATCAGTGTAGTAAGATGCTATAGAGTCACCACTTGCCTTCTCCGTGCTATACTGTCTTCTTGTGACCTACCTATATTATGTGTGCTAATTATAATGCCCCTTAATCCCCTTCTCCCTCCCTCCCTCACACACCCTTCCCAACTCCTCCCCTTTGGTAACGACTAGTTCCTTCTTGGAGTCTGTGAGTCTGCTCCTGTTTTGTTCTTCAGTTTTGTTTTGCTGTTATACTCCACAAATGAGTGAAATTGTTTGGTACTTGTCTTTCTCCACCTGGCTTATTTCACTGAGCATTATACCCTCTAGCTTAAGGAGCCTCTCTTTTAAAAAAAATTATTGCACTAATCAGGTTCTCCAGCATAATATTAATAGAATTTGGTGTTAGAAGGCACCCTTGTCTTTCTCCTAATGTTAAGATGAATGTTTTTGTTTCACCAGTTTGTTGTAACAATCTCAATAAGTGAGGTTGGTCTGCAAGTTTTCTTGTTTGATTTCAGTTTTAAGGGTATGCTGGCTTCATAAAATAATTTTGAGTTGGGAAGAGTGTTTCCTTTTTTTCTAATTTCTGAAATAGTTTATAAAATATTCAAATTATTTGTACTTTCCTTTCTGTAACTTGTCTGCAAAGCACCTGGTATTTTTCCGAGGGAAGGTTTCTGGTTTTTCTTGTCAACTTTTGATAATTATTCTATTTTGATATTATCCTTAATTTTCACAATAATATCAAAATTAACTTTTATATTATTCCTAAATTTTCAGTCTTGTTGGCATAGAGCTATTTATAATGCCTTTTTAATTTATTTTGTGGAGGAGGATACAGTGGATTTTTATTTCTTAGTTCTTTTTAAAACATTTTGTTTTGGAGAATTTTGAACAATTATGAAAATAGATAAGATAGTACAATGAGCCCCAATCACTGAGCCCTAGTAGTTATTAACTCATCACCAATTATGTTTTATACGTACCTTATTTTGAAGCAAAATCCAGATATATAATTTTATCTATAAAAATTTGAGTATTTCTAAAAAATAAAAGTTCCCTCTTTATTTTTATCATTATACCATTATCACATTAAAAAATAATTTCATATCAAATACCCAATTGGTGTTCACATTTCCAAATGACTCAAAAATATCCTCTTTTAGTCTCTGCAGTGTGTGGACCCACAGCTCCCTTTTTATTCCTATTATTTCTTAATTCCTTCTTTCTTTTGTTTGTTAGTTTCAAATAATTTTTTATTGCCCAGGATAGTTTTTTCTTGTGTCTTGTTTGTTTTTCCTCTTTTAGTAACTAAATTCAAGTTTAGGGAAGCTTGCCTTTGTCTTGAGAAACAAAATGAAACAACAAAGCTTTTATAACATTTGCTAACCTGATCTTGTTTTTGAGAGATGGTAGTTATCTTGTAAGAAAATTTATTCCATGAGTGATACAGGTCTAAGTGTGGTGGTACTAAAATACAGTAGCATTGTTAGCAAAACTATAATCTGTTGGTCTCAACTGTGGATAAAAAGCCCTTGAAAATTTTCAAACAACAGTAAACTATGTTAAGAAATTCTAGAGACTTTCAGTAAAGGAATGAGATTAGTAAAATGCCTGAACAGAGTTTGAATAAAAATATTGACTTGAGAGTTACTGTAACTTGGATATGTAAAAATAGGGGGAACGGTTGGATCATGCTTACAGTGGTCTCAAGTTCAAGTAAACTATTGTGACAATACATCACTTCACAGGTCACATGCTTTTTCACGGGATTCCCTCAGTAGGTGTCTTCATGGCTCCACTTTACCTATATTTAAACAGAATATTTAGGGTACCTGAAGTGGAATGCCTTAGGTGGAGTGTTTCCAGGTCTTCTGGACCAATCAGACACACAGTCTACACTTCAAAGCATCAACTTCTTTCTCTCCTTTTATATAACTGCTTCCGATTGAGAGCTGTGGTTGGTGGTGATGCGCATTTCCACATCAAGCATCTTGTTGGGAAAGGGTGTCACAGTGAGATCCACCTGTTGAACTACTCTGTCCTGATTCATGTTGTTTATCAAAAAGAATCTTCTCGAGTGAGGGGAGGAGAAGATGGCAGCATGAGTAGGGCAGCAGAAATCTCCCAAAACCATATATATTTTTGAAAATACAACAAATACAACTATGCCTAACAGAGAGACCAGAAGATACAGTACAACAGCCAGGCTACATCTACATCTGCGAGAACTCAGCATCTCACGAAGGGGGTAAGATACAAAGCTGCGACCTGGCAGGACGCGAGCACACCCCCCACCCCAGCTCCCCTGCGGGAGGAAAGGAGTCAGAGTGGGGAGGGAATGGAAGCACAGGACTGCTAAATAAACAGCCCTAGTAATCTGCCCCGGGAGCACAGACACACATTGCATGGTGTGTTGGATATTAGAGAAACGGAAAAGTAAAATCTGCGAGTGGGTCCCCACAGCTGGCCCCCTGGGACAAAATAAAAGCAACTGCTTTTTGAGAGTCTTAAAGGGATGGGCTTCACAGCTGGATGGAATCGTCCTGGCACACTCAGCCCAGCAGGCTGGAACTCCTGAGGAACTTCAGGCACCCCAACCCCCTGGGGCAGCTTAGAGCCCCTCACAGTGATGAGCAGCCTGCCATTCATTCCCCTTGGCCAGCGCTGCCCCGCCACAGCAGCCAAGCATCCGGAGAGCATCCCCGCAACAAGTACCGCCGAGAGTCTCCTCCCAGTGCGGAGCTGCCTGGGCCAGACACAGAGGCTGCCGCCGGTGTGCAGCTATGTGGCACAGACAGAGGAAGCCAGGGCAAGGCGCAAAGGGGCCCTGTTGCCACAGGAGAGCACACCTGGTGTGCCTGCCACTCCCCTCAGGACTCTGGGCTACCCCGAGGGCTGCCTGGCCCACGGCAGCTCAGGGGATTAACCTGGAGGCTCCTCCTGGTGTGTGGGTAACTGACACAGGCAGCGGAGAAGAGCAAGGCGACCAGCAAGCAGGAAGGGACTTTGTTCTCCCAGCTGACACACATGCTACCTGCCTATGACTACCTCTATTGTAATGAAAAGGCAGAAAAATTTGGTCTAGTCGAGAATCAACCAGACAACCCCCAAGAGAGGGCCTGGGGAGAAAGATATAACCAATCTTCCTGAAAAAGAATTCAAAATAAAGGTCATAACCATGCTGATGGACTTGCAGAGAAACATTCAAGAGCTAAGGGATGAAGTCAGGAGGGAGATTACAGAAATGAAACAATCTCTGAAAGGACTTAAGAGCAGACTGGATGAGGTACAAGAGACTGTTAATGGAATAGAAACCAGAGAACAGGAATACATAGAAGCTGAGGCAGAGATAGAGAAAAGGATCTCCAGGAATGAAAGGATATTAAGAGGTCTGTGTGACCAATCCAAAGAGAACAATATTCGCATTATAGGGGTACCAGAAGAAGAAGAGAGTGAAAAAGGGATA